TAATTATATTGTTTTTTTTAATAAATTAATTCATAGTTATCTTTTATTTGTCACATAGCAAAAANAAAAAAAAAAAAAAAAAAAAAAAAAAAAAAAAACATTTTTATTTGAATAAGTATTTCAAAATTTGCATTTTTTCTTAAATAATCAATACCTATATCATAAAGTGATAATGATCCTCCGAAGAAAAATTAAGGTTACCTTAAATAATCAATACCTATATCCAAATTAATCACCTCAACTTGTTCTTTTGGTTGGCAAGAATACAAATTTTATAGAGCTATCGATAACTTTATTTGAAGCAATTAATGAATTGATGTATATACATTTGTCCCACCAGTATTTATTTCTCGGTTTTGTTATGAAGCCAACAATTGACTCTATAGTGGAGCCAGCCTTCTATATACAACAAGTAAACCTACAATATTCTCTGATTACTTAAATATTATTAATATAATTTTATTAATATAGTATGGTTTACTTGTTGTATATAGAAGGTTGGCTCCACTATGGAGCCAACTGTTGGCTTCATAGCAAAACTGATTTATTTGTACATAATATGTCAGCGGTTTTGCTATGAATCCAACAGTTGGCTCCATAGTAGAGTCAACATTCTATATATAACAAATAAACCTACCGTACTAATAAAATTATATTAATGTTATTTAAGTAATCATAGAATATGATAAGTTTACTTGTTGTATATAGAAAGTTGACTCCACTATAGTCTATAGAGCCAACCGTTCCCACAACAAAACCGAATATGTCAGTTCACTATTTGTAAGATTATTTTTTTTTTTTTTTGGTACAATCTTTTTTTTTTTTTTTTGGTACAAATTTGTAAGATTATTTTAATGTCTATGTAAGGAGTGTCATTTGATGACTATAATAAAATTGCGGGAAAGAGCTCGGTCCTTCCTTATTTATAGATAACCTTATTGATAAGATAATGATGTTGCATATAATGTGTACATAAATGAGAAAGCTAAATACTGATATTATCATTTATCAGTTCACACGATGTAATTAAAAACTAAAAAAATACAATTGAACTTGATGCAGGAAGAGAAATGTCGAGATAATCTTCTTTCTCGAGACAAATTAATATTCCGCATATAATTCTGACAATTCTATGCATATTGTCGTCAAATACACAACGAAAAACTTCTTGAAATTTGTAGCACACTAGACTTTAGAGCTCTAATAAATAAGCTCAAACCCGAGAACTGAGCATAATTTTATGTTACGACGTGCAAATCTTTCTCGTGAATAAGGATGCAAATGATTTGATTTGTGTATAGTTGCTCCTGTTCATTGAGTTCCAAATGAAGCAAGGAAGACCAAGGTTCAGTTGCCACTTAGGGCATGTAATAACCAAGTAATGAATATTGTAATGGGAATAAAACGATCATATGTTAAGTATGCGATTTCGCATATTAATACACTAGTCACTCCATCTCAAAACTACTTAAGTTGTCACGTGGATTCTAACACGTCTAAGTTCAATGAACTCGGTGAAGGTGACATGAGTTGGGTCCGAACCCAACTCACCTTGGATTTCAATTTGGGCAAAACATTTACAAATGATTTTGCAGCAAAAAATTATAGGGGTTGAGACCAAAACTCAAGTCCAACATCGGCTCAAACCATCCAAGGTAGCACAAGTCTAACTCGAAATCCAATTGCCAAGGACCAACGTTCAAGTCTATGTCCTACACCTATATCTTAGTTGAGCCGTGCCAAGCCGACACACTGACACATACTCGTGACTGAAGCCACCACCTACACTTGGTGCAGAACTTTGGTTGTTATTGATCTGTACAACTCTTTCTTTGAACTTTCAAATTTACAGTAGATGGCGTGGCCCAGATATTAAGCTCGACCCAAGTTCGCAGTCCCAACCTAAGATCACAGAAGGTCGTCTCTCAGAACGGCACATCTGCATACTGCCTGGGCTGCCAACCGACCGACCTGTTGGGATCTATGAGGATCTCGTTATGTACAAATCACGAATTCAATAACAAACGAAAACCTATGCGCAACGGATCTAAAGGTTTGCGTAGAAAACTTACGGGTTAAAATTTATGGCGATCTGGCTGATCTTCCGGATGGCTGTACAAACACACGAACTGGTCTGGATCACAAACACACGAATTGGACTGGATCACAAACAGATCAACTGGGCTCACAATCGATCGTGTGGATGGGCTCGTCGGATCGACCGGGTCGGATC